GCGAGACTCTGTCTCAAAAAATAAATAAAGTAGATTAGAAGGAATACTCTTTCAGGAGGAAAGTAAGGTTTAGAAGCTGCATGGATAATGATAACATATTTTCCCAATGGACAGTTGATGGGCCATGTTAAATAATAATATTTGAAATCCAATTTCAGTTCTAGATTGTAAACCAGATTCAGGAAGAATGGTCCTGTCTCCAAAGCATTTTGGAATCCTGAAATCACAGAAACTTGGCACCTAATTTCTACTGCTGTTCAAAATAATATACGGTATATGGGACAAGGACACTATTTGTTAGAAAGGGAAAAAGATGTGACTGTAGCTATTTCAGAGCTTGCTCACAACCAGACAATATTTGATTTAAATCGTACTGCTATTTGGCATAACTCTGGGTTCATAGGGAAGCTACTTTTAGAACAAAACAACACTTATAATAATGAGGACATTGATAACCAAATATTTTGGAAATTGGAACTCAACTTTCCTCAAATTGCACTCCCAGTAGACAATAAATGGCTGAATGAGCAATTAGATATTGTAAATCATCAGTTAATCACAGTTCTAAATGAATCCAAAGATATCATAAGATACAAATACAAACAAACAAAAAGAAATAAAACTACGGTATTAGTCACAGACTATCAAAATGTATGTTCAGGGCTCTTATCTGTGATACTTTGTTTCTTTTTTCATTGTCTTTTCCTCGGTGGACCTCTCTTGGTAATTCACTACATTACTGATTATTTTTCTAATGTTTCTGTGTTACAAGTATTATAAATGCAAGGGTTACAGATGTCTCTGAAGAAATAAAACTCCAGCTAATATGCTAGTTCATCAATTTGAACTAACATACATAAAACGTATGCAAAGGCAGTCTCTATTGCCTGTTTGTCTAACACGTTCTTTTCCTCTATTTCTGACCAGCTGAGGACGGGCATTCCTTTTTGATTTTTATCTCCAAACTCCCAAGGTTTATTAAAAGGGTATAAATTTGGATATTCTTCCACCAGACTCTTCAAGGCTCCTCACTGATACTGCTGACCCCACGACACGTCACTACCTCTGATGAAGAGAGTGGGGTCCGTGCTCTTTAAATCCCTCAAATTATTTGGACTTCAAAGTCCTCCTTTGGAGGATTTTGGCCAAAAGGGGAGAATTGTCAGAAAAAGGAAAAATCTGAAGAAAAACGTTTTCCAGTGGCCTAAGACGGCTGCAGTGTGGACATGTGGGTAAGAGAAACTAGGCCTTGCCCGCAGGCTGGAGTCTGCCAGGCAATTCACTGACGTGCACTGGTGCCGGCCTCGCCTGTCAGATGGGGCACAAAGGCAGGATGGACTCACCCTCCCTCTGCAGACCTGGCTGCCTGCGTGTTTGTTGACCTTCCGTCCTGCACTTGTTAACCGTACATGGGTCACTGAGCGCCAGTCAGAATCATAAGAACGCCACCTGTGCTCCACCGCCCCCTTCTCCCGTTTCTATGGACTGGGAACATGTGAATGTCTGTCCAGCGCAGCCCCCTCCAGGACACATTCTTGGTTCACACTAAGGCTGTGTTGCTAGGCTCACAGTCCTCATGCTTGGCTCAGAATAAAACTCACTTTATGAAGTATCACAAGAATGGAAAAACAAACACCACATGTACTCACCATTAAATTGGAACTAATAGATCAACACGTATGTGCACACATGGAAATGACATTCATTGGAAATCCAGTAGGTAGGACGGGGGAGGAAGGGATGGTGAATTCACACCATATGGGTGCAGTGCACACTATCTGGGGGAGGGCACACTTGTGGCTTTGACTGAAATGGTACAATGGCAATTTTTTTTTTTTTTTTTGAGACAGTCTCTCACTCTGCTGCCCAGGCTAGAGTGCCGTGGCGTCAGCCTAGCTCACAGCAACCTCAAACTCCTGGGCTCAAGCGATCCTCCTGCCTCAGCCTCCCGAGTAGCTGGGACTACAGGCATGCGCCACCATGCCCGGCTAATTTTTTCTATATATTTTTAGTTGTCCATTAATTTCTTTCTAATTTTAGTAGAGACGGGGTCTCACTGTTGCTCAGGCTGGTCTCGAACTCCTGAGCTCAAACAATCCTCCCGCCTCGGCCTCCCAGAGTGCTAGGATTACAGGCGTGAGCCACTGTGCCCAGCCATCTGTGAGTTTTAAGGACCAGAGACTCAGCCTGTGAAGAATGGATGAATGAGGAGTGTTGAGAGACTCCGCCCTTGGGCTCCATCCCTTGCCCGCCTACAGGAAAGAGGACCCCAGCCTTCTTGCAGGGCTGGTGGGGCGGCCGCCAGGCAGGCATTCTTCCCTTCCAGAGCACGCATCCTCCGTGTGTGCGGGCACTGTTAGATTCCACCATCCAACTTTTCTGCCTTAGACATTGAGAAGCCAGTTTGGGATTTAGACGCTACTGTGTAAACCCTGGCCAGTTAGGTTATCAGTTAAGTTGTGGGTTACCGTGGCTTTCAAATTTAGATCCTTGAGGAAACAAGGTTTAAAAATTTTTTTTAAATTATTTAACAAATGCTCGTGGAACTTGCAATATAGCAGGCACGGTTCTAAGGGCCCTATGAATTTTAACTTATTGAAGAGATATTTTATGTTTTTTTTTTTTTGCAACTTGCCAACAACGACAAAAAGCTTTTTTTAAAAGAGGGGGAGGGTTGAAATAAAGATTCTGCCATTAGGAGTCTGGTCAGGAAGCCCAGGCTGGGGCTCCCTCTTGGGCATTACGTAGATGCTTCCTGCCTGCCCGGCACTGGGTGAAGAACAGCGGAATGATCTGTGGCCTGGACGAACGAAGCCGCACAAGGTAATAGGAACCTGTGTACAGAGGGACAGATTGTCTTCATGATGTCCTTACAGCAGTCCCGGTACTCACTGGGGAAGACATAGCCTTGAGCCAGATAGCGCAGTGAGGGCTGACTCAGGGTGTGTGGTGACCCTCTGTGGGGACCTCCTTGGCTAAGGGCGTGTTTGGCACAGTCACCGTGGCCTCAGATGCCCACCCTCTGACCAGGGCCCGGTGTTCTGCTCTTTTACTGTTCGCTGCTCCTGAGATGAGAGTCTGGGTTCTGGATGCCGAGAGGTGGGGCTGAGGGAGGGACCTCCCGAGAGATGAACTTCCACTGCGACTCATCTCACAGACACAGGTTCTCGTCAGGGTGGCCCTGGACAGTGTGCTGCCACGTCCCCTCCACCCCCTCCTAGGAGGCCTCCCTGCCCCAAGGGACTGTGCCTCCTGACACCCCTTCCTGCAGCACTCCCTGGAGTCATCCCTGCCTGGGGGCCCAGCCACCCACCACTGTGAGCCGCCTCCTTGGCTGCTGGGCTTTGGGGAGGGGTGACCACCGCCCCGCCCAGCCACCCTCACAAGTGTGAATAACGATCTTCATTGGCACTGATGCTTGTCTGGTGCGAGCAGGTCTGTGTTAGGCAGCTCTGCTTTCTTCACCCCCCTGCAGGGGTGGATCCAGGCTTTGTTGGACCTGAAGCTTAGACAATTTGGGGGTCCTCTTTAAGAGAACACATAATTACAAATTTAAATTTAGATGCAAAAAGTTATTTATTTTGAGTGCGATCTCTCTTGTCTTTCATTTTTTTTTGGTTGGTAATACTTCCTGTCTCTCTCACTACTTACTAAAAAAACATTGCTTTTATTGCTTTTCCTTCTTCTGTATTTTGTTTTCTATGTTTTTTTGGTTTTTTGGTCTTCATTTTCTGCTTCTTCTGGTTTTGTTGTTTTTTTTGTCTTTTGTATCGAGAGAATGGAATGGTAAATTCGGCCTTTCCTGTAGCATGGCTGGTTGAAATTTATTACTGATAATTTAGGAAAGTTTATTTAGGCTTCAGATTTGTTACTGGGAGCAATCGGCCGTATATAGTTTTAGGATTGTGGTCAAATCGAGAGGCTTCTGTCAATTTTCTTTTATATGTTAGTTGTAAGACATGGAAGGTTTTCCACAGACTCGCTTCTGCTCCGTTCGGTTGAAACCTTGTTTCTTTCCGTGATTCACACAGTTTCGGTGGCAGCTGCTACACGCACACTCACCTGCTCCCCCTCTGGTCCTGCACATTCACGTCCCCACGTCCCCATGCCAGGCCAGTCGGCGTGGTGGACAGGAGGAGCATTTCTGGAAGCCGTTGCTACACCGGATGGCTGACGATAACTTGCAGACCATTGTGCCGGCAAACTCTACAGTGTCCCTTCACACCCAAAGAAAGTGCGTTTCTGCCCAGCTTCCCCTTAGCCAAATTGCTGGTATCCGCTCCGGTGCCTCCTGACACAGTCTGACCGAGAGGGGTCCTGGTGGGGAAAGACAAGGCGAGGTCCACAGTCAAAATACTTGTGCACATGT